TATATATATATGTATATATATATATATTGCTATGTGCTTTCATTGCTCCACTTTATTCTGGTGCTTTTATCTATGTTGCTGTGTGCAGCTGTAGTGTATGCATTGTTATTTGTACATAGTACTCCATTTTATGAATGAAACATTCACTCTTCATTCTGTTATTGACAGACATTTGAACTGTTCCTAGTTTTTTGCTGTTTTCTAACAATGCAGCCTCAAACACTTTTTAACATATCTAGGGCATATAAAAATGCAGTTGATATTTTTCTTCATTGATTAATAATCTAGCCAATTTGCTAAACTCCTTATTAATTTTCTTTAAGGTTGCCTAATTGCTCTGTCCCAACTTCCAACTTACATGCTGTGGTAATCTAATATTTAGTCCTATTTTCTTTCAATACACAAAGATATAGAAAATACAAGTCCAAACTTGTATACTTTTTAAAGTATGTTTTTGCACATACAATGAGCATTTATTTTTACTAATTTCTTGGCTCTGCATTTCTTCTTGAGTCTCAAATTTTCCTTGTAGTTTCCTTACCTCCTGAAGTTTCTTTCTTACAATTTCCTTTAGTACCGCTCTGTGGGTGGTAAACTGTTTTTATTTGTTAAGAAGGCCTGCCTTTCAGTTTTGTTCTTGAAAAACAGTTTTCCTGTGTCCACAATCCTAGGTAGTTATTTTCTCATCTTATTCAGGATATTATTTTGCTGCTTTCGGTCTTTTATTGTTGCTCTTGAGGAGTCTGTTATTGGTCTAATTTTCATTCCTTTATAGATGATTTATCTTTCCTCTTAGGCTACTTTTAAATCTCTCTGTCATCCTGCAGTTTTACTACCATGCGTGTAGGTGTCCCCCCCTCCCTTTTTTTTTAATTTGGTAGAGAGCAAGTGCGCTTATCAGAGAGAGAGAGGTAGAGAGAGAACATGAGAAAGCACTCCACCTGGGCAGTCGGCACACTGCATTCCCTTTCCTGTTTCTCCTTTTGCGATTTTGAGCACACACACATCCACAATCAGCATGTTTTTTAAGTCACCAGGGCCTGGACTTGAACTGCAGTTGTCTATGTGGGATCCAGCTACCTTAACCACACGCCACTGGCTGGGTTGGTGCTGCCTTTTTAAAGCCTACGAGGTGGGGGGCAGAGTAGGGACAGAGGGGAGGGGGGGTGCAAGTGGCATGGTGGTTAAAATGCTGGCTAACTGAGGTTCAACTCTCGGGCCTGCCAATTTGATTTCTCATGTTATCTCTCCCTCTGTGTCTCACTCTGATTAAATTAAAAATAATGATGATGGGAACCAGCAGTTAGCGTAATGGCTATGTCGCTGGACTCCCACATAGTCGACTGCGGTTCGCATCCCAGACCCGGTGGCTTAAAACTCACACCAGGCGCGTGTGCGTGCATGCCCAAGATCCCGAGGGGAGAATGGAGAAGGGATTGCGGCGTGACCATCCCCCCCTGAGGGGTGATTTCTCGCTTTCTGTCTCTCTGTCTCTCTCTGTCTGGCGAGCGCATGCACCCTATAGTGAAAAAACCTCTCCAAAAAGATAATAATGATGATGATGATGATGGTGAATAAAATAATTTTTTTTTTTGGAGAGGTTTTTGCTATAGGGCACGTGCGCTCACCAGAAAGACAGAGAGAGACAGAGACAGAAAGTGAGAAATCACCCCCCCAGGCGGGATGACCATGCCGCAATCCCTTCTCCATTCTCCTCTCAGGATCTTGGATATGCATGCACACGCACCCAGCATGAGAATACTATTACTTTTAAAATAATTCTTTTTTTTAAGAATTCTTCAGCTTTATTTATTTATTATTATTTTTTTAATTTGACCAGCGAAAGACAGAGAGAAAGGGAAAGTGAGAAAGCAAGCTATCAAGATAGACACCAGGGGCCATGAGGTGGCGTGGTGGATAAGGCACCAGACTTCCACGTTGTTGACTACAGTTTGAGTCCTATACCTGGTGACTTGCTTTCTCACTTTTTCTCTCGCTTTCTCTCTGGTGAGCATACATGTACTTTACCAAAACTTAAGAATAATAAGTAATACAAAAAAATTTTTGGAGAGATTTTTGCTATAGGGCGTGTGCACTCTCCAGAAAGACAGAGAGAGACAGAGAGACAGAAAGCGAGAAATCACCCCCAGGGAGGATGGCAATGCCGCAATCCCTTCTCTTCCATTCTCCTCTTGGGATCTTGGGCACACACGCACACGCGCCTGGCATGAGTTTAAGCCACCGGGTCTGGGACTCGAACCACGGTCAACTATGTGGGAGTCCAGCAACATAGCCATGACACCAACTGCTGGTCCCATAAATATTTTTTTAAAGGATACCAAAAAGTATAGTGTTGAAAGAAAAGTTTTCAAAGGCAATGCAGATTGCATATATATAGAGAGAGTAGATAGATAGATACAGACAGATATAGATATATACCCATGTATATATAATGTATATATATGTATGTGTGTGTGTAGTGTGACTTTCAAGTTGCCAGGTCCAGGATTCAAACCGCCGTTGGTAATGTGGGAGTCCAGTGCTGGTCCCATTATTATTATTTTTTAATTTGCTATAGATCATGCACATTAGCCAGAGAGAGAGAGAGGGAGAGAGAGAAAGCAATCCACCAAGTCCAGGACTCAAACCACGGTTGGCCATGTGAGAGTCCAGTATCCCAACCACCATGCCACCTGCTAGCTCCCTGAAAATATTTTTTAAAGACTTAGACCATTTATTTTTTTCTGTATCTATCACTTTACTTGTGCTGAGAGAGCATGTAGGGTCTTTGTTTGCAAAATTGCCTGGTTAGTATGTATGCCAAATGTAATTTATTGAGGACTGCATGTATGTCTGAAGTATCTGGTTCCTTAAAAATAGGATGCTGCTCCTACCGAGTCTTTACTGAATTGGCAAGACTATGAGGGTCGGACTCCTCTTCACTTTGCAGTCGCTGATGGGAATGTGACGGTGGTTGATGTCTTGACTTCATACGAAAGCTGCAATATAACATCTTATGATAACTTATTTCGAACCCCACTGCACTGGGCAGCTTTACTAGGTGAGTTGGTGTGAATCAAAGGACCAAAAATAGGAGGAACTGCATGAATATAGGAAAATATACACACTTTCTCTTCCTCATTGGTTCCTACGTGCTAGTTAGTTATTTTAATTTTTACTTGATATGTTAAAATTATTTATAAAATTCTTTTATGTATTCTTAAATTTTGGTAATATGAATTTGTTCTCTGTTAAATATAGTTTTCATTGCAATGTCATTTCTTAATTTTTAATTTGTTTTCAAAAAGTGTACATTTTCTGACAACATGTAAATGTAACATAATCCTTTTTACATTCAATGCCTTTATTTAGGGAAGGAAAGCTTTAATTTTATGTCTGTGCTAATACCATGATATTTGATGTTTTCTTCATATTTTTGTAATATGCCACTTAATCTTTTAGGGGATCACTTTTTTAGATAGGAATGGATATGTGTGTATGTTATATGTGTCTATGTCAGGTGTTTTGTTTTTTTGTTTTGTTTTGTTTTGTTTGTGTGTAGAGGGGGAAATCTGAGAATATTTCTCTTTTAGTGAAAGAATTTTACTCCATGAGTATTAGTCATTATTTTAAGATGAATAACTTGGTCCTTTTTTTTCCTGATATTATGTTCTTTATTAGTAGTATCTTACTTTTTTTTTTAATTTTCTTTTTCTTTTATTCCCCCATTTCCTTTATTTTCTGTCTTTTGGTATATGGATTAGGGTTATTCTTAGATGCTTTTGAATTGCCTGATGTTTTAGGAGGATTTTAGGTTCTACTAGAGGTTACTTGTAAATTTATCAAAAAATGTTTAAACTCAGTCAGAGTCAAGGGCAAAACTGCATCAATTCCCACCTACTTGAGACATTTAGCACACTTGTACTTGTCACTCATTTAATATTTGTTCATATAATCTGACACTTTTCTCTCAGTTGTTATTATCTTGATCTTAGTTTTTAAATTATACATTGTCTCTTTTGAAAGTGATTTCTGTATTTGCATTTGGGATTTTTAAGATTTTTTTTTTTTTTTTTTTTACTCATTGTCATTATTTTATTTTATTGTATTTGAAGTTGACCAGAGAGAGATAGAGAGAGAGAGAAGAAAAATGAGAAAGCAAGCTGCCAGGTCCGGTACTCAAACCACAGTCAGCCATATGGGAGCCAGCCGTGTTAACCACCATACCACCTGCTGGCCCCAGCATTCAGTTTTATAATTATCATTTAGACCTTATTTCAATATGAGGTTTTATTCTTTTCCCCTTTTCTTCTGGACTCAGTATAATTAGCAAATAGACTTTTTTCCTCCAATGAATTATTTCATTTAATTTTATTCATCATCATCTTTTTTTTTTAATTGGACCAGAGAGAAGGAAAGAGATAGGGAAAGTGAGAAAACAAGCCACCAGATTCAGGAATCGAACCAGTTGGCCATGTAGGAATCTAGCACCCCAACCATCATGCCAAATGCCAGTCCCATTAAACTGACTTTTGGTTTCATAAATTCTGCTTTCTTCCTGCCTCCTATATAGATTATATTTTATATATTTTTTTAAAATGTCCTTTCCCATCCAATTTTTTAATCTCATCTTATCTCCTTTTCACTTCTTCCCATAACCTTTTTATTTCAGCCTGCTTTCTCCTTAGGATATTCTATTTCTGTCTCGTAGAAACCATCTCTTTTTGCAGTAAGTCGAGGATACCAGTTTTCTGAAATTTTCCTCTGGATCCTTCTCTAGATCTTCAGAGGTATGCTCTCTTTCTGATAATGTTCCTTTTTCCCTGTCCTAGGGTATGTTTCCATATAGTCTTTACTGAATTTTTTTCTTTATTCTTCAAACAAGATGAGATGGCCTTTGATCCTACATTTCTGTTAGGAAGAACTCCATCTTAAACTACGTCTAGAGTGCAGATAAGTGAGCACAACTCCCACTCAAATTCCTTTGTTCTTCCTGACTTTCACACTGTATCCGTGGTCTGTGAATATGGCATACCTGCTTTGTATGCTGAAGCAACAGAGTGTATGACATTCAGGTTTCTTACATATACTATTCCAAGGTTTGTTCATTTTTTGATCTTTTCTACAAGTTTTCACTTGTGAAGGGAACTTCCTACAGAATTCACTGCAACATAGTTTCTCTAATAGTACCTCATCATACTCCCCACCTGTTTCCTGGAATTTGAAGTCACTGCCTATATGTTAAAAGACGGGAAGGGATCTTGGAGGGGATGGATAGGAGGCCTCAGAGACAGGAGAAACTGTGTCATAGTTTGTCCACCTGAGAAGTAGAAGACAGCAGCCAGGCAGTTCTGGGTGACTGGGCCATGGAACCTTGAGACTAGGGCCAGTGATGGCTAGGAGTACCTGACTGTAGGCACCTGTGTTACAGAAACCAAGTAATGAATGGAAAGAGGTGATAACCAAAGTGCTTTTTTCCCTCAGTCTGGCAATTGTAATTAATGTCATCGCCTTCCTGATTGAAGCGATAAGTTTTGAAAAAGTGTACATTTTATTTCCGTTCTACCTTCTTATATTACAGTATTTTTTTTTTTTTTTGAGAGAGAGGTTTTTGCTATAGGGTGTGTGCACTTGCCAGAGAGACGGAAAGCAAGAAATCACAATCTCTTCTCCTCCATTTTTTCAGGATCTGGGTGCACACACACACACACACACACGCACACACATGCACACACCCAGTGTGAGTTTCAAGCTGCCAGGTCCAGGACTCGAACCGCAGTCATGATGTGGGAGTCCAGCAATGTAACCATTATGCCAACTACTGGTTCCTCTATTATGGTATCTTAATGAGAAGTTAGAATAGGCCATCTTGGGGGCTAGTAGATTTCTTACCCATTTCTTTTGAAAATTATAAATTAATTAACGTCCTTTCTCTGAGTTAACCACCTTATGTCTGTTCTTAGGCCATGCACAAATCGTCCATCTGCTTTTAGAAAGAAATAAGTCTGGAACTATCCCATCTGACAGCCAAGGAGCAACACCCTTGCACTATGCAGCTCAGAGTAACTTTGCTGTAAGTAAAACAAGATAGTTCTCTGTTCTTTTCCATTTAAAAAAAAAAAAAAATTAAGGTTTTGCCATAAGATGTATGTGCTTTCCAGGGAGAAAGAGAGGGAGGGAAAGTGAGAAATCATCACTGGGGAGGCATAGCCACAGTCTTGAACCAAATCTTAGACTCCAAATTTTTTTTTTTTTTTTTTTTTTTTTTTTTTTTTTTTTTTTTTTTTGGAGAGGTTTTTTGCTATAGGGCGCGTGCGCTCGCCAGACAGACAGAGAGAGACAGTGAGACAGAAAGCGAGATATCACCCCCCAGGGGGGATGGCCACGCCGCAGTCTCTTCTCCTCCATTCTCCTCTCGGGATCTTAGGCATGCACGTACACACGTCCAGCGTGAGTTTAAGCCACTGGGTCCAGGACGCGAACTGCGGTCGACTATGTGGGAGTCCAGCGACATAGCCATTACGCTAACTGCTGGTTCCCAACTCCAAATTTAATATAGCTGCAGATATTACTAATTAAATAACCATGACAGAACATCATGGGTGTTTATTCAAAGAAATATTTTGTTGGATAATCTGCCAGTTCGGGTTGATTTTTTTTCAGAGACAGATTTTTGCTATAGGGCATGTGCACTCGCCGAGAGACAGAGAGACAGAAAGCAAGAAATCACCTCTAGGAGGGATGGCCACACTTCAATTCCTTCTCCATTCTCCTCTCAGGATTTTGGACACGCACGCATAGCATGAGTTTTAATCCGCCAGGTCCTGGACTCTTACCACAGTTCGCTATGTGGGAATCTAGCAACGTAACCATTATGCCATCTGCTGGCCCTCAGAGTTGATTTTTAATAACAGGCAAATTTCTTTGTAGAGGTTTTTTGTTTTGGGGGGATTTTTTTTCTTTGTTTTGTTTTGTTTTGTTTTTGCAATAGGGCACGTGCGCTCTCCAGAAAGAGAGAGAGAGACAGAGAGACAGAAAGTGAGAAATCACCCACCAGTGGGGATGACCATGCCGCAATCCCTTCTCCTCCATTCTTATCTTGGGATCTTGGGCACGCACACATACATGCCTGGTGTGAGTTTAAGCCACTGGGTCCAGGGCTTGAACCACAGTTGACTACATGGGAGTTCAGCGGCATAGCCATTATGCTAACTGCTGGTCCCAATAATATGCAAATTTCTAAGCTCAGTTTCAAGTCCCTTGATCTTCTTGGCCTCTATTAATTCACAAGAGGTTGTAACTTCCTTTTAAAACACACATACAAATCCATAGACATTCATCATTAAGAGGAAACATACTCAACAAAGAAATGTTTGTAAATTAGTAAAATAACACAAACCACAAAAACTCCAACTTTTAAAATTCATTTTTTAGTCAAATATACTTAATGAGCAGGCACACTAGACTAAGAGCACTATCTACACCTTAGTAACTCTGCAAATATTAATAGCTTTAAGACTGGGAAGCAGTATATGATGCAGTAGAAAAAGGTCTTTAATTTAGTCCTGGGTTCTAATCCTGTATTTGCCACCAATATTTGTATAATCTTGAAACTAAATTTCTTCATCTGTAAAATGAGGAACTGAATTAGAAGGTTCCTTAGATTTTTTTTTCTTTCTGTAAAATACTGAGAGTCAACATTTTATGCCTTTTTTAGATCAGCTCACAGTTTTGAGAATTTTTTTTCTGAAATGTTCTCCATTCACGCAAAAGTTTCTATGATCTTTCTAAAAGTTTGTAAGAATCTGAGTTCTGAGGAAAGTCAATTTAAAATGTTCGAATTAGGAGGCCAGCAGGTGGCATGGTGGTCAAAGGCAATGGATTCTCACGTGACTAACCACGGTTCAAGTCCTGGACCTGGCAACTTGCGTCCTCACTTTCCCTTTCTCTCTCTGTCTTTCTCCGGTAAAATTAAGAAATAATAGTAACAAATAGAATTAAATAAATAAATAATTCTTTAAAAAACAAATAAATAATATAAAATGCTTGAATTGGAACCAGCAGATGGCATAACAGTTACATCACTGGATTCCCACATGGCTGGCTGCAGTTCGAGTCCTATAACCAGTGACTTGAAACTCACACTGAATATATGTGTAGGTGTGTCCAAATTCCCAAGAGGAGAATGGAGGAGAAGGGATTGCAATGTAGCTATGCCCTACCCCCTGAAGGTGATTTCTTGCTTTCTGTCTCTGTCTCTCCAGTGAGTGCATGCACCCTATAGCAAAACTCTCTAAATAAATAAATAAAATGCTCAAACTGGGGCCAGCACCATGGCCTAGTGGTTATAGGAACCAAGTCCCACAAGGCCAGCTGTGCAGTTTGAATACTGGACTCAGCACATGTCCTTTGGCAAATTTTACATTATAACAATAATAGAAATAATAATAAAAACCTACAAATAAAATGTTGGAATATTAACCCCCACTAAAATTTTCAGGCACTATTACAATTATCAAGGACCCTAATTTTTATGTGATTCCATAGAAAATGACCTTTAATAGAGGGACTGTTGAATATATATCACTCTAAATGAATTGAATACTGCATTTCTTCAGAAACTTCAGAAACATTTATCAGAATTCAATAAAGCATTAAACTTTTTTTTTAATTTTTAGTAACAAAATGTATAATAAGAGAATGTATTTACCTTTTTCAGAGGCAATCCTGAATACATGGACATCTTCATGCAAGTGTCTAAAAAAATGTATATTTTTTAAAGAATTATTTTATTTAACTTTATTTATTTATTTTAAAGAATTATTTATTTATTATTATTATTATTGTTAATATTACTTTTTACATGAGTTTTGCCAGAGAAAGACACAGAGAAAGAGAGAGGGAGAGTGAGAAAGCAAGTCGCCGGGTCTGGGACTCAAACCATGGCCGGCAAAGTGGGACTTCCAGCACCTTAACCACCATGCCACCTGCTGGCCCTGTTTATTTATTTATTTTAATTTGACCAGAGAGGGACAGAGTGAGAGAGGGAAAGTGAGAAAGTAAGCTGCCAGGTCCAGGGCTCAAACCTCTGTCAGCCATGTGTGAGTCCAGTGCTCTTAACCACCATGCCACCTGCTGGCCCCAGAAAAATGTATATTTTAATGTTGATCATGACACTGTTTACTCTTGAGTCTTTTAATTGTCACTTCAATGCTCTAATAGTGTCTTATACAGTTTTCAAGCTTGACTGAAGACAGTTATTCTCAGTTTGGAATATGTTGAATGAAGGAGTTAGGTTAGGTTTTTTAAGAGTTATAGAAGCTAAAAGTAATACTTAAGGACAAAAGATTGTTATTTTCAGTGGAAATTGTAGTTTCATTATTCCTAATAAGGTAATTTTATCCTTTCAAAAGAAGGAAAATACTGTACTTTCAGTGGAAGTCACAGGTAGTTAGTGGCTCTGTCACCATAGAAAATGTTACCCTCTTATCACAGTTTTTCAAACAAAGTTTTCTTACAGGAAACGGTTAAAGTGTTTTTAAAACATCCTTCAGTAAAAGATGATTCAGACCTTGAAGGAAGAACATCCTTTATGTGGGCAGCTGGAAAAGGCAGTGATGATGTCCTTAGGACAATGCTGAGTTTAAAATCAGATATCGATATTAACATGGCAGACAAATATGGAGGCACAGGTAAGAACTGGTCGACATTCACTTTGCTTTCATTCAGGTTCCAAAGTGTAGCTGGTGCTATAAAATTTGTAAAACTTAAAATCATTGTTCTTGATCTAATATTTGACTTTAATCTTTCTTTTGTAAAAAAAAATTTTTGTCAGAGAGCCTATGCACTCCCAAGGAGAGAAAGAGAGAGAGAGAGGGAGGGAAAGTGGGAAAGCACTCCCCATGGGGCACAATCATGCCACAATCCCTTCTGCATTTCTCCTGCCTTTCAGGATTTGGAGCGAGCATGCATATGCACCCAAGCTGCTAGCCAGAACTCTAAGCATGTAGCTGGCCATGTGGAATCCAGCTGCCTTAACCACCACACCACAGGCCAGCCCCGATATTTACTTTTAAGTTTGGGTTTGCCAGGATATCACCCCAAAGGCTTTATTATTTCCAAGTATTATGGCTAAAAATAGCATATTTTTCTACCAAGGAAATAGTAGTATTTGGTTTAAAAACCTGTTTATGGGCCAGCTCCATGGGAGCTGGATTCCATATAGCTGACTACATGGTTCAAATTTCAGCCGTGGTGGCTTGAAAAATACCTGAGATGTGCGTGTGTGTGTGTGTGTGTGTCTGTGTGTCTGTGTGTGTGCGTCTGTGTGTGCCAAAAATCTCAGCAAGATGGAGAACTGGAGGAGAAGGGATTATGGCAAGACCATGTCCCACTGGTGGTTTTCTTCCTCCCTCTCTCTCTGTCTTTCTCTTTCTCTCTGATGAGCACACGTAGCCTATGGCAAAAAAGAAAAAAAAAAAACACCAATTGCTTTATAGACATGATTATGAGAACTGAGAATCTATCTTTATGTGAAAAAAGCACTAACTTACACTTTTAAACGATGCATATTTAACAGTTGTTAGTTATAGTTTCAAAATCTAGAAAATACTTTTAAGGAATGCACACATCCAAGTGTGTTCTCATAGTCTCATTTACTGTGCTCTTTTCTCAGGTTTGAATTGCAAAAACCACATCCTGAATCTCCCATTTTAAAGATAATCTTCCATGACTCTGGAAGCTTCAAAGCTTCAAATCAGTCTTACATCAAAAATTCTTACTTGGGGAACCAGCAGTTAGCGTAATGGCTATGTCGCTGGGCTCCCACGTAGTCGACCGCAGTTCGCATCCCGGACCCGGTGGCTTAAAACTCACACCGGGCACGTGTGCGTGCGTGCCCAAGATCCCGAGAGGAGAATGGAGGAGAAGGGATTGCGGCATGACCATCCCCCCTGGGGGGTGATTTCTCGCTTTCTGTCTCTAATGTCTCTTTCTGTCTGTCTGGCGAGCGCACGCGCCCTATAGTGAAAATCTCTTAAAAAAAAAAAAATTCTTACTTGATGCTTTTTTATTTCTTTTTTAAGAATTTATTTATTTAACTTTATTTGTTGTTATTTTTTTTTAATCTGACCAGAGAGAGACAGAGAAAGAGAGAGAAAGGGAAAATGAGAAAGTAAGCCGCCAAGCCCAGGACCAAACTACAGTCAGCCCTATGGGAGTTCAGCACCTCAACTACCACACCATCTGCTGGCCTCTCGATGCTTCTTTTAACCACTTTCTCTAATAAGAGAGCCTTTTAATTATTTGTGGTTAATAAGAGAGGTACAGTTTTTAACATTCAGTGTCAATTTGGAGGTCTCTTCCTTGTATACTGACTATATTTTACAAGTTAGAGAAAGAAAAATCACACAGCGGCACAGTAACACTGAAGAGAATTAAAACTCAATGGGTTTCTCAACGTTATGTTTTTTTCATTTGTAAAACATAAAAAATATGTGATTTCTAAAACATATTAGAGTCAAGTTCACTCCATGGCCTAGTGGTTAAGGCAGCTGGGTCTCATGTGGCCAACTATGTGGCTCAAGTCCCAGACCAGGCAGCTTGAGAAACATGCATGCTCTAAAATCCTAAAAGGAGTGAGATGAAGAGAAGAGATTGTGATGTGACTATTCCCCATGGAAGCTGCTCTCTAATCTCCTCTGTGTCTCTCTCTTGCTCTCTGGCAAGCACAGGTGCCCTCCAGGAAAAAAAAAAAAACAGTTAAATATAAATGAAAAGATTATTAGAGCCATTTGTACCTACCTGTTGTCCTGGATAAGATCTTTCTTGGCCACATAAACTATTGATGCAGCATTGGGGATGGGGGGATAAATTAATACTACACTTAATAATCTCTCTCCCTGTACCAAGACCACCACACCCTCCAAATTATTTTTTTAAGTTTTTAGGTAGTATCACTTTTATGCTAAAAGTTTTCACTTTCAAAAGTCTTTTTATCAGAGTGTCTTGTGGAATATAGTACAGACACATAGTTTATAAAAGACCTGAGCATTTCATTTGCTGTGAGATTTTCATTAGTATCCAATCTTTCTCTTTATCACTAGCCTTGCTTTAAGTTTTCATGTATTTTAATAAGATATGGACAGGGATACTTACATCCTTTTGACCAAAAGTGCCTTTTTGATTTACACCAAGGTTCGAGTTCAGACAATTTTTTTCTCAGATTCATTAATTCCCTAGGTTCTTTCGTCTGTGGAGATTTTATTATATGTTAGAGCTACCTTCCTGACATTTCTATAAAGGTGAGCTTCTCTCCATCATCCCCCTACAGAGCTGTCTTTTCCTTGCCTTATAAAGAGACCTTACCAACCCCAAAGTAATGATTTGGATCTTGATTCAAATAAATAAACCATATTTTAAAATGATAAAACCAGGGACCAGCAGATGCCGTAATGGTTATGTTGCTGGAGTTCCATGTAGTTGGACCGCGGTTCGAGTCCCAGACCAGGCAGCTTAAAACTCACACCAGGCGCATGTGCATGTGCGCCCAAAATCCTGAGAGGGGAACGGAGGAGAAGGGATTGCGGCCTGACCATCACCCCGGAGAGGGCAGGGTGATTTCTCACTTTTTGTCTCTCTCTGTCTCTCTGGCAAGCACACATGCCCTATAGCAAAAATCTCTCTTAAAAAAAAAATTATAAAACCATCAGGAAAATGTGAGCACTACCTCGGTATTTGATGATATTACAGAATTTCTCTAATATTTTTAAGTGTAATAGTGATATTATGGCTACCCTAGTTATTAAGCTATCGTGTCTCAGCTTCCCACTTATCCTTTCTTTGCAGTGCTGGGTCTGGAGCTCTGTGAATCACTGTTGCAGGCATTATAGAGCCATAATACTCAGGAAGACTAGTCTGGGCTTGTAAACTGTCATCGTGGCTAATTCAAACCCAAAAATGACAGTGTAAGTCAAGCACTACAGTGGAGTAACAGAGGCAGAGGTCAGCGAAACATGAATCACATAGTACAGTCAAAATTACTTTTTAAAACTCTTAGAAAGGCTTCAGAGAGGAGATCACATTCTCTCTGTGTTTTTTTTTCCAATGTTGAAATAAATTGCTGTTTCCTTAATTGAGCCCTAAAGGAAGCAGCTGGTTCCCATTCTGTGATTTTTTGCACTGATAGCACTTCAGCTATTTGAAGTCACTTACACCCACCTGAATCTTTTCAAGGTCAAACTAACATTCAACCATTTAAGTCAGTGTTTCTCAAACTCAAGAATACATAAAAAGTGGAGGTGTGGGGGTATTTAAATATGGATTCTCAGACCATATGGACAGAGATCCTACCGCAAATCTTTTCAGCAAGTCCTGGTGGCTCCACCTCCAAAACACATTCTTTTTTTGTTCTATTGGGGGGAGAGTTTTTTTGTTTGTTTGTTTGTTTGTTTGTTTGCTATAGGGCACGTGAGCTTGCCAAAAAGACAGAGAGACAGAAAGTGAGAAATGACACCTCCGCAGGGGTGATGGCCATGCCTTGCAATCCCTTCTCCTCCATTCTCCTCTTAGGATCTTGGGCATGCACGCACACATGCCTGGCATGAGTTTAACCCACTGGGTCCGGGACTCAAATCATGGTCAGCTACATGTGCATGGGAGTTCAGAGACGTATCCATTACACCAACTGCTGGTCCTCAAAACATATTCTTTCCTGGCAACCAGCAGTTCGCGTAATGGCTATGTCGCTGGACTCCCACGTAGTCGACCGCGGTTCGTGTCCCGGACCCGGTGGCTTAAAACTCACGCCGGGTGCGTGTGCGTGTGTGCCCAAGATCCCGGAAGGAGAATGGAGGAGAAGGGATTGCGGCGTGACCATCCCCCCTGGGGGGTGATTTCTCGCTTTCTGTCTCTATGTCTCTCTCTGTCTGTCTGGCGAGCGCACGCGCCCTATAGTGGAAAAAAACCCTCTCAAAAAAAAAAACAAACATATTCTTTCCTTCTTTTTTTTTTTTAATAGATTCTCAATTTTTAAAAAAACTTTATTTGTTTCAAATAATTATTTTATTTATTTATTTATTTTAATTTTACCAGAAAGGGGGGGTGGAGAGAGAGAGAGAAAATAAGAAAGCAAACTGCCAGGTCCGGAACTCAAACCGTGGTGAGCCATGTGGGAGCTCAGCACCCTTAACCACCACACCACCTGCTGGCCCCCTCAATTATTTTTAAGAGAAATTTTTGCTATAGGGTGCATGCAATCTCCAGAGAGAGAGAAAGGGAGAAACCACCACCCAGGGGGATGGCCATGCTACATTCTCTTCTCCATGCTCCTCAGGATTTTGAAAATACACACACACACGTGCCCACCGTGAGTTTTAAGCTCCCATGTCCAGAACTTGACCTGCATTTGTCTACATGGGAGTCCACTGACCTAACCATGATGCCATCTGCTGGTCCCAACAAAACATACTCTAAATCTTTCTGTTTCTCTCCACATTTATTCCCACCACCCAGGTTAAAGCCACCATCATTTTTTACGCAGTCCACTGCAACAGAGTTACCTGACCTCCTTGCTTTTGTTCTAATCTAGGACAGTGCATTTGCCTCAGAACAGCTAGGGTGATCTGTTGACAGCTAAATCAGACCTCACTACCCAATTTAAAGCACTTCAGTGTCTTCCGTCACTCTAATCTATAAGCTAGTAGCTGAGAATATACCATTTCAGAAAAACAGAATGGAAGGGAAGAAAACAGAAGAGAAAAGTGGAAGGGAAAGGGGAAAGTGTGAGGAACACTTATGTAGGAACGAAGGTAAAAATCACATACCCTTTGGCAAAAATTTTAAAAAAGAAGTGAAAGAGAAACCAGAGAATTCTTAAGATTTAGGTTGCGTTTAGCCAAAATGATGAGGAATTCAAGAGAGGAAATTATAACATACTTAGAATGATAGAAGGGTAAGTTGCTATTAAAGAGTTTGTCACTTCCTTTAACTTTCGTTTTAGCTTTACATGCTGCTGCTCTTTCTGGCCATGTTAGCACCGTGAAGTTATTGTTGGAAAATAACGCTCAAGTAGACATGACTGATGTCATGAAACATACTCCACTTTTCCGAGCCTGCGAAATGGGACACAAAGATGTGATTCAGACACTTATTAAAGGTTAGTTCAAGGGCCAGCAGGTGGTATGGTGGTTGGGGCACTGGACACTCCCACATGACCAACCGCAGTTTGAGTCCCAGACCTGCTGGCTTGCTTTCTCACTTTCCCTCTGTGTGTGTGTCTCTCTCTCTGGTCAAATTTAAAAATAAATGAATGAATATATAAAATTAAATAAATAATTCTGTAAAAAAAATTGGGGGGGCAAGCAGGTGGCATGGTAGATAAAGGTGCTAGATTCCCACATGGTCAACCACAGTTTGAGTCCCAGACCTGGCAGCTTGCTTTCTTGCTTTCCCTTTTTTTCTCTCTCTCTGTTTCTCTCTGGTCGAATTTAAAAAAAAAAAAACAACAACAAATGGAATTAAATAAATGAATAATTCTTTTTAGAAAAAATGGTTAGTTAATAAGAGTACTCCTGGGGCAGCCTGTGGCATGGTGGTTAAGGCAGCTGGATCCCACAAGTCTCAGACCTGGTGGCTTAAAAACATGCCAGGCTTGGGACCAGAAGTTGGCATAATGGTTATGTCACTGGTCTCCCACATGGCTGACCATGGTTCAAAGCTCAGACCTAGCAGATTGAAACTCATGCCAGGAGCATGTGTGTACATGCTCAAAATCTCAAGAAGAGAATGTAGAAGGGATTGCAGTGTGGCCATCCCCCTGGCAGTGATTTCTTGCTTTCTGTCTCTCCATCTCTGTCTCTCCAGTGAGCTCACGTGCTCCTATAGCAAAAATCTTTCTAAAAAAAAGAGAGAAAAACATGCCAGGCTCATGTGCTTGCATGCTCGAAATCCCAAGAGGAGAATAGAGAAGGAATCATGATGTGACCCTCTAGGGTGGGGGAAGCAGGGAGCACTGCTTTTTCACTTGCCCAATCTCTTTCTCTCCAGCAAGTGCACATACCCTCTAGCAAAATTAAGGGGGGAAAAGAAGAATATTCCTGGGACCAGCAGATAGTGTAATAGCTATGTCTCTGGACTCCCATGTAGTAGACCACAATTTGAGTACCGGACCTGGCGGCTTAAACTCACGCCGGGTGCATGTGTGTGCGTGCCCAAGATCCCGAGAGGAGAATGGAGGAGAAGGGATTGCGGCGTGGCCATCCCCCCCTGGGGGGTGATTTCTCGCTTTCTGTCTCTCTGTCTCTTTCTGTCTGTCTGGCAAGTGCACGCACCCTCTAACAAAAACCTCTCAAAAAGAAAAAAAAAAAAAATTAAATAAGTCTTAATAAAAGGAGGGGACAGATAGTTTGCAATCATCAAATAAATCAGTCTTCAGAAAAATCCTTCAGGGCTATGAGTCCGTCCCTTTACAGGTCAGGAAGCCTAGGCTGGGAGAGGAAATAATTTATTCAAGATGACATGGCCAGCCAGGGGCAGGGGGGGGGG